GACGATGACAATCAGTCTTTATTTGTTATTGTATAAATATACACAAAAAAACAATATACACCCAACACAATGACAGTTCTATCTTAGTCTAGTTTAGGGATGTGCGATTTTATCGGTATACCGGTATATCGCGATTTTTTGTTGCGCGATATGTATCGTGATACGGAGACCTAAATACCTTTATTTAGGTACATATTATAATTAAAGTCCAGAAATTATTCATTTAGTTGTTCCATCTTTTAAATTACAATTATAGAAAGTCTAAAAATGTTGTAAAAGGTGAAAAGAATGGCATTTTACAATCCAGACATGATTAATTTTATGTACATAAAAAATTCAAAAAATTAAAAAAAATTTTCTAGCATATTTTTAAGAGAAATAATGACTATTTCTTTTAAAATCATTGTAAAAATTGCTTATAAAAATATCATGATATTATCGTGATATTTTTGGAAAAAATCGTGATATATCGCGATACAAAATTTTTGGCGATACCCATCCCTAGTCTAGTTTTTATTTTAAAATGAAAAAAATATGCAGCAGTTATCTAAAATGACACAAAGATGAATAAAAACTATCTTTGACACTTAAATATCATTTTAGCCTAGGTACTAATGTGGTATCAAGCAAAAGAACTACATACGCTAAATCTTGATTCCCGACTACATTTTACACTTATTTAATTCAATATTAATGACAGTTTGGTCATAAAATCTTTATTGAATAAAAAGATCTGTTCAATTATAATTGATTAATAATTTCAATACCAGTGTAAAATAGTTAATTATCCCCTATTCTAGCTCTTTAAAAAAGGGGTGTGGATGATATTTTACGTTGAAACTGGGCTTTACACCATCACCGTATTTTAAAATATTTTTGAATGTGAATAAATGTTCCTTGCCTCTTTTCTTATGGGGGGGGGGGGTGTTTTAAAAATATTTTCCGTTGATTTCTATAGTGAAAAACGCGAGTTTTACCAAAATTATAGGGTTATCTCTCTTTGTTTTCCCAAATATTTAATGTTTTATGGAAATTCATGTAAATATAAATATAAATAATTAAAATCATTCAAATATATTAACTTTTGAAAATTGACTTGGAGGTAGGCCGGAGAACAATACTATCGTTCGTAGTTCTTTGGAGTTATTGATCAGACAAAATGCATGTTAATACATAGTATGGTATGAAGATTTAAATGCATGTACAGCAATATCCATGGAATAATTAATACAAAAACTATGAGAGAATGTCCTTACAAAGTATCTTAAAAGTATTTAATCAAATTAAACAGTGCATAATATCAATTAATATGAACACTGTACATGACTAGTAGGTACCCAGGGAACACAAAACTTTTAGGTTGTATGTAAAGGGCAAAATTTGAGTCAATTTCAAAACAACAAAGTCCATTATACTCATACATTTACATAAATTTCTTATACATGAAAAATAAATATAAGTTAAACAACATAAAAAAGTTCTGCATGATATGAACATGTGAAGAACATCTGGTCCATCATGTCATTCACTTAACATGAAAGTCCTAACATGGTCATGTAGAAACCCTTAAATTTACATCATTGATCAAATTCACCGGTTTTATAATCAACTGCCTTGTTCCACTATACAGTGTTATATGAAAATTGTAATGTTACCGTATACTAGTATTGCACAATATCTTTAAAACCAGAAGTCTCTGTCGAGACTGAAGCTCTACTGGTTTGTACTTATAGCAAAGGAAAAGAAAGGTTCTTAAGCAGTTGGGAACTGAAACTTTACCACAGCAATAAAAAGAATAATGATCCTTGATTAAGTCTCTTTATGTTCTTAGTGTAGTCTACTTGCATGCCACATTATATTATAATCAGACTTAAACTGTATTTCGAGTAGCATTTTGAGAGTTTTTAACAGAAATTTCTATTTTTAGTAACAATGGCAACACCGTTCATCGAAATCAAAAACCGATAAATAGAATTATGTATCTTAGTGTAGTGTACTTGTGTGCCAAGTTATACTGAAATCAGACCAAAACTGTAAGAGGAGTAGCATTTTAAATGTTTTTCACAGAAATTTCTATTTTTAGTAACAACGGCAACACCGACGGCAACACTGTTCATTGAAATCAAAAACGAATATATAGAATTATGTATCTTAGTGTAGTCTACTTGTGTGCCAAGTTATATTGAAATCAGACCAAAACTGTAAGAGAAGTAGCATTTTGAAAGAATTTCACAGAATTTTCTATTTTTAGTTAAAACGGAAACACCGTTCATCGAAATCAAAAACCGATATATTGAATTATGTATCTTAGTGTAGTCTACATGTGTGCCAAGTTATATTGAAATCAGACATAAACTGTAGGAGGAGTAGCATTTTGAAAGAATTTCACAGAAATTTCTATTTTTAGTAACAACTGCAACACCGTTCATCGAAATCAAAAACCGATACACAGAAATATGTATCTTAGTGTAGTGTACTTGTGTACCAAGTTATATTGAAATCAGACCAAAACTGTAGGAGGAGTAGCATTTTGAAAGAATTTCACAGAAATTTCTATTTTTAGTAATAACTCCAACATCGTTCGTCGAAATCAAAAACCGATACACAGAAATATGTATCTTAGTATAGTCTACTTGTGTGCCAAGTTATATTGAAATCAGACCAAAACTGTAGGAGGAGTAGCATTTTGAAAAATTGTTTACAGACAGACAGACAGACAGACAGACGGACAGACAGACAGACGGTGTAGATTAAATATTTATAAATCATCGTTTGTTCCAATGGCAATAAGGGAATGGAATTCTTTATCTCTTGAAACAAGACAATCCACTACAATTGGTTCCTTCAAAAAATGTATAAACTCTCAGAAAACACCCACCCCGTCATTTTTTACTTTTGGTGATCGTTACTGGAGTGTAATTCATACTAGATTAAGACACAATTGTGTCTTAAATAAAGACTTATTTAGGTGTAATATTATTGACAGTCCACTGTGTACTTGCGGAAAAATAGAAGATGCATATCATTTCTTTTTTTCTTGTGTGAACTACACTGCCCCAAGAAACGATTTGTTCAATGCTATTTTTAGAATGATAAATTTACGTATTGTAGACACTCATGTTCTATTATGGGGAGATAATTCGATCAGTATTTCTGAAAATGAAAGTTTATTTTTAAATGTGCAATTGTATATTAAGAGATCTGGTCGTTTTTGAGTAATGCTTTTAGATTAGTATGTCCATACTACATTAATTCAATTCTGTATATGCATTGTCTATGTTAGATAACCTTATTGACCTTTGGTTCCTGTGTAAATTAATTTTGAACAATGTACTTTGTGTTACAAATTGTTTTAAAGGAGAGGACGTTCTAAGTTTTTAAGAACTTGTGTCCAATCCTTTTGTTTAAACACCAAAACAATAAAATATGTTCAAACCATCAAACAGACGGACGGACGACAGACGCATTACTATCGCATAAGCTCTTCTGGTCTCTGACCAGTAGAGCTAAAAATTATTCATAATAATATAAATAAGTTTTTGTATGCTGATTAGCTGTTAGTATCCTGTTAATATTACACATAAATGAACACATTTAAATATAATTAAGCATAGCTGTATTGTCTTTAGGGTGTGGAATAAAAGTAGCACCAATAAATTATATAAGTAAATGTATGAGATAGGGCTGGGTATTGGCCCGAGATTTCGTATTGCGATATATTGCGATATTTTAAACTGTATTGCGATATGTATTGCAATATTTTCAATGTAATTTAAATGGCATTTTCTTACTATATTTACTCTAATTTACATGCAGAATGTACATAACTATGATAAGTAACCAACACAGAAAAAAATCTTGTTGATTTCATTTAAGTTATGCTCGGAAATGTTCCCAAAAAACAACTTCTGTCTTACTATTTGGCTTAATAACAAACTTTCATAAGTCCATTTTTATATTTAATGACATAATTCCTTAATCTAAGCATATTGCCAATATATCGATATTACAAAATCGTATTGCGATACGATATTTTTTGTCCTTGTATCGCAATATATTGAAATATCGATATTATTGCCCAGCCCTAGTATGAGATTGTACTTTTTGAAAATTGAAAAACAGTGTTAATTTTACAATGCATTTTCACAATAACGCAGTTTCTAATGTAAAAGAAAATGTATTTCAATGGTCACTGCAGCTTGATTAAGAGCAATGGCAATCTGCTAAGCTCCATACATTGGTGGAGCAATAAACATCACATCCATAACATGACTATGCCAGAAATGGCCTAATGTCACAGTGACACTCATTTCAAATTTCACTTTATATAATTTTTTTTCTAAAATTCCTTTGTTGAATTTTCCCTTGTTATATAGTGCTTTTAATTACAACCTTAGTAGTCTTTGAAAGCGGGATACAAGAGGCCCATGGGTATTTTAGGTCACCAGTCACTAAGCATCATGAAGCAACTTTCCAACCATTGAAGTTGGTTTGTGTTTTAAACCAGAGGTAATGACATTCACAATTTTGAAAAAAGAGGCACCATTGCTCATCATAACTATACAGTTAGCATGCTTAGTTTAGTTATTATACCCACAGGCGGAGTAGTGGGACAAAAAATTCATTTCAACCAATCACTAATATTCAGCAATAATCAGTAGTGAGTAGTGCCTGGAAAATGCATCCCTGCTCATCATGAAAGTTTGATTTTACCAAGGAGCAGATTTCAAACAATTTATTCATTTTCAGTATATAATAAGAACCTCCCCCATCCTAGGGGCATTGGAATTTATAATTCTGAAAGAAGGGTCCTTGCTCATCATAGCAATATAGGTAGTCAATCTGCTAAAGTCCCAGGAGCAGAGGAAAGGATATTTCAAAGAATAAATTCTCACTACATATGTATATAGCCCTACCCTAACAGAAAACCCCTTACCCTGGGCCTGTGAAATTCAAAATTTTGAAGTGGCACCCTTCCTCATCATAAGCATGTAGTTAGTTTGTTTATTGATTAAACCCAGAATCAGAGAAGAAGAGTTTCAAAGAATTAATGGATTTTCACTATACATGTGTAATCAATCGAGTCCACCCTAATACCAGAACCCCTGGCCCTGGGAACATAAAAGTCACAATTTTGGAAGAAGCACCCTTCCTCATTATAACTACACAATAAGTTTGTGCAAGTAAAAGCATAGTATAGGGCGTGGTACAAATTAAATGTGATTTCCAATGTATAACACTTGAAGATTAAAATAATACCGCATGACTGAATCAGCAAGATGGCAGAACACTGTTAACATCCACGGTGTGCGAGCCATTCCAGTTGCTCCTGGTGAATTGAGAGTGCGTCATTACAACATCGCCATTTCTTCTGATTTTTCCTTGCTCCGCACGTCACCATTAGAAATTATAGAGGTTGCCAGTTTAGGATTCTTCTCTGTGAAAGAAGAGCACAAGTCTAAAACTTTTATTTATAAAGGGGGTATAGTTTCTTTCGTAAGTGTGAAAACCCCCCCCCCCCTCTCATTCTTTCTAAGAGTAAGATATCCCCCTTGCGTCAATGCTTAAATTATATTGAGAATAGCGTGCACTACACTATGATGTTTTATCCACCTAGGTATTATACAGAGATTGTTTACTTCTCTATGCATTCTGATCCAACCTCTAGTGTATCTAGTAGTCAGTGTTTTATAGTTCTGTCCATGATTCGTTTTGTTCAATGTTACTAGAATCTACACCTTTATAGGTTTTTACTTGAAAAATAACTGATGTATATACGTATACACAACAGCTACATATCCTTTTACCTTTCTTCTTCCGGTTTACCACGAACACAAACACTGCACACATGACGACTAAAATGAATATGAAGACTGTTACAAGAACAATCACATTTGGACCTGATGATGACTCCAACGATTCATTGCTAAAAACAAAAAAAAAAAAGAGACATAAGCTATGACTTTTTTATGATTTAGACTTATTTGATTGAACTTTTAAATATTTATGCCTATTGGAATAGTTGAAATCCCGCGAAAGCTCCGGAAAAATTATTTTTTTCACTGTTGACAGATTCATTCCAAAAAGTTTCTTATGTTTTTATTTTTTACTGACAGTTAATTAGCTATGGCATGATGAAATACATGAAAATCCAACATTCTGTTTAGGAAAAGAAGTCGATATATAGTATATACACATCTTTTATATTTGTTTACCTTAAATTCTCGCTAATTAAATTTATTTTGATATCGGTGCTGTACTACATATGTACATTTTTACTTCGCATACTTCGGGTGTTCTGTTTCCGTTTACAATTGACATAGAATTGACACGGAAGGCCTCTGTGATTTGAATCTACGAATTCGTCTTTTTCAAATATGAATATACAATTTTATTTCTCAATGAAATGGAAATACTAGAGGTACTGTGAGCAATGAGCTCACTAAATGATACCCCCCGCCTCCCATATGATTATAATGGAAAAGTCCATGTTTTGTTGTGGCGAGGAAACCCAAAATATGTGTCGGATCAAAAAGTAAAATAGGAGGTGCACAATGGCAATATGTAATAAAGATTCTGTGAAAGTTTCATTAAATTTCACTAGGTGGTATAAGAGGAGTTGCGGATAAGAGATGGGTACCCCAAAGCGTAACAGACGGACGGACGGACGGAAATACCGATTACTATATACCCTCTCACTTTTCAAGCGGGGGGTATAATAAGGGATAAAACCTAAAATTATCCAACGTTTCCAACTATCGTTGATGACCTGGTATACTCTACTAATTAGACAGTGATTCCTTAAATATTTTAAAAGTGCATCTCACTGTGAATTAAGATGCAAGTAATGAGCTATAGATATATTTTCTATAACCGTAATTAGTTACCACATTGTTCGTGAGCAGTTACATGATTGCGGAATCGTTGTTCTGCTGTCTCTCTCTTTGGCTGTAGTTGTTTGTGACTCTGACGTTGTCGTATATACAGTGGTGGTGGTTGTTGTCTGTTCTTTCTTATAACATCCTTTATCTAAAATTAAAAAAAAATATATATAACGCTATATCAATAACGATAATTCTACATCATTAGCAAATACAAAAGTACATTGAGTTTTAAGGGACCGCGACCCTTGCAAGATATACCAAGAATGCATTTAATCAAATATCCAAACATACACCACTTCATAAACTAAGCTTCCATACCCTTCGAGGTAAGCTCAAACACTGGACAGAATTGCAATATATACCCTTTGTCATACATGGGCTAATATTTCATCCAAAGCCAATGAAGACATCTGAGTTGTAACCAATGAATGTTAGTGCATCGAGTTTGTATTAAATTTTGACGCTAAAAACAAATTCTTATAATTTGTAAAGAATATCTGCCAAGTAATCAAAATAAAAGTCACCATCAGATTCATCGTCTCAAGCCACGGTCCGGAGTCCGCATATATAGTTCTCTCCTACCCGTGGCTGTTTGATAACAAAAAGTGTCGTAATCTTGAATATTTACGCCTCTCTATTGTGACGTCATATTCAGTCAGTGGCAAGTTTTGTTTCCATCGCAATCGAAATCAACAACTGACGTCAACAGTATACAAGAAATATTTCCTATAATGCGATTGGATATTGAAAGGTCGCGATCAAGTTCATCATCCGACTATGCTTTACTCGCATTGGTCAATATTTTAATGAGCTACGAAGAATTCTCTCCTCGTTCAACCACGGCCAGATGGGAGAGGAGCGTACATTTTGGCCGTGGTTTGCGACGATGCATCAGATTATGTATACATGTACGAGGGCTGTTCAATAAATGATGTCCTCGGTGCTCGGAAAGAAGCAAAAGACACTTTTCAATGATTAAGTCTTCATGATTGAACTTATTAATTTTTTTTTAAGTAAAACACATATCCGTAACCAATTTATCCAATTTCTGATTGTTTGTAGAACTCATTTTTGGGTATGACCCTTAGTATACTGGAAAATGGCAGATCCAGTTATTTCCTGTACTTGTTTCTTCCTTCTGAAAGGTGTTTTTTCAAGTTTGGAAATAGAAACAAGTCAAATAATCAAAGATCTGGCGAATATTGTTAATGTGAAAAAACATTAACTTTTTGTTTATCCCGAAAACGCTTTTATTCTTCAGGGCGTGCGGGTTTGGACGCTGTCATGAAGAAATTTAATGTAGTGGATTCCTGATTCTGGGCCCTTCCTTTAATAAACCTTTCGCTTTTTTGCAAACAATTTGCTTTTTAGGCTCCTCCAGAAATTCAACTGTCTCCCCGAATACGAATTTGAACAACAATACCACTATTATTTTAAAAAATTGCATATAAATCTGTCTGTGCTTTTGCAGTTCTTTACTCTTGTCAGACCTTCGCTGTTTTTATCAAGTACATCTTATGGTAAATTTTGTTTGGAGAGATTTAAGCAGTAGATTCATTTTCCATTATCTGTCTGAATATCAAACAAACGTGGATAACTACAATTACTGATATTTTAATTAATTGTTAAGACATTCGTACACGCTGCCGTTTTCACTCATTTTTCAAAATATAGGGTGACCTTTGAGTACTAAGTTTTTTTAATCGTCAAACGTTTCTTAAAAACAGTATAAACTACTCCCGAAATGATGTCTATCAAATTTGCTATGTGTCTTAGAGTCAATCATACATCATCAAATATTATTTGTTTAAATTTGGCAAACAGTACATAAATTGTTATAATTTTTTTGTTGGCAAGGACGGTACCCATTTTTGATGCCCATTATATAATTTTTTATCATTGAAATCCACCTGCTCATTTGTCTATAAAACAGGCGTTGGTTGCTGTAAATGTCACATATTTCAATAAATATTTCTTTGGGATTTTTAACAAGTTTTACAGCAATTTTAATGAAGCTTTTATTTTCACTCTAGTTTACGGATTCTTGACCATTCATTTATAATGCAGTGTCTCGAATAGCCCTTGTTTTCCAGCTTCTCACAATGAAACTATGTGATGAAAAGTGGTCACATAAACTGTTATAAATTCATTAAAGATTCAATAATGAGAGAAAGTCAAGCTTAATGTCATATGATATCTGTATTGTATGTCATACATTTCAGGACATTATTTATTGAACAGCTCTCGAATGTAAATAAATCAATAATTCTTCCATTTATATAAGTCTCATTCTTGAAAGGAATACCATACATACAATTGAGAGACAACGGCGACTTAAACAATTTGTCTGGGCAGTCTGAATCCCCTGGACATTTTCTTTCATCCATATTTCCTTGGTAATTATTGTAATAAGGACATCGTCCTGCATAAAAAATAAGAGGTTAATAGAGAAAAGCGCAGGCTATTTTAATTTGTAACAATCTAAAGTTTATTTCGATTGAAAACTATAATTTTGGCAACATGATCAATATTGCAGAGTATTGTCAAATTAACCGTCAACAAATTGCAAGACGTGATTAAAAAGTTTTTATAAACGTATACCCTTTTCTATCCATGTAATTGAGAAACAACAGAGTCCTAGGTCATCATTGTCGTTAGGCAGACAGTGTAAGACGCGATTCTTCCCTGAACAATTCTGGTACACCTCTATTGGAACTTGTGCCAGAGATATGTCGGTACATGACGACACAGGGAAAAAAATACTCCTCCCGTGAACTGAGCCCGTTATCAATAACATTATCACTCCTGTCAAAAAAAAAAATGAATAAATAAATACATTTTCATAGATTGTGTTTTGTATTTTCACATTTTGTATTACAGTATTTTAATTTAATGTATCAACAACTGAGGCAAATATCAAAATAAGTTTTTTTTCTAGATTATTAGGTCACCTGAGTCACTCACTCAGGTGACCTACTGCTACTAATATGTGTTTTCGTCCGTCGTCGTACGTTAACGTTTGACCATTTTCAACTTCTATTCTGAAACCGCTGAACCAATTTCAACCAAATTTGGCAAATAGGATCTATGGGTGAAGGGAAACAAAAATTGTGAATTTTATGCTCCCCGTCTCCCTTGGGCCTGAGAAGTGGGCTCTAAACCACTAAAATTATTGCAATCTTTAAAAATCTTGTTCTTTACTCCTGGGCATCGAGCTGTCAAACTATTGGCATGATTGTAATAAGCATTGAGCCTCTACCAAAATTGTGAAATTCATGGTCCCAGGGTCAAACGTTCTGGTGCTGGGACGGGTCTCTGTTGATTATAAATTTATAATGCATTAGAGGAAAAGCCTCTTCTCTGCTCCTGGGTATAATTATGGTGCCTTTTCCAAAAATTGTGAATTTCGTTGCCCCTGGGTCAGGGGTTCCGGTGTAAGGGCGGGGCTTTTATGATTATATAGTGAAAATGCATTAACTATTGAACATATCCTCTGCTTCTGGGTATCAAACCTATGAACCATGTACAAAATTTTGATAAGGAAGGGTGCCTCCTCCGAAATTGTGAATTTCAAAGCCCCTGTGTCAGGGGTTCTGGTGTTAGGGCGGCGCTCTAATGATTATATAGTAAAAATGCATTAATTCTTTAAAAATCTTCTCCTTTTCTCCTGGGCATTTTAAAGAATAAGCTGCGTACATATCTATGATGTGGAAGGGTGCCTCTTCCAGAATATGAATTTCGATGCCCCTAGGTCAGGAGTTCTGGTGTTAGGGCAGGACTCTAATGATTATATAGTAAAAATGAATTAATTATTTGAACATTTCCTCTGCTCCTTAGTATGAAACCTATGAACCATGTACATAGTTATGATAAGGAAGGGTGCCTCCTCCAAAATTGTGAATTTCAAGGCCCCTGTGTCAGGGGTTCTAATGTTAGAGTCAGGTTTCATTGAATATAATTATAGTGAAAATGAATTAATTCTTGGAAAATCTTCTCCTCTGCTTCTGGGTATTATGCTGATGATTTCAGAACATACGAGGGGTGTTCAATAAATAATGTCCTCGGTACTCGGAAAGCAACAAAAATCGCTTTCCAAGGATTTACACTTCATGATTTTACTTAAATATTTTCTTTTAATTGAAACACATGTCCGTAACATTTTTAGCCAATTTCTGATTGTTTTTAAAACGCATTTTTGAGTATTGCCCTTCGTATACAGGAATATGGCAGATTCTATGATTTCCTTGACTTGTTTCTTCTTTCTGAATGGTGTTTTTTCAAGTTTGGAAAATGAAACAAGTGAAAGGATGAAATATCTGGCTAATATTGTTGGTTTGACAAAACATTAACTTCCTATTTATCCCCAAAACTACTTTACTCTTCATGGCCTGTGGGTTTGGACGTTGTCATGACGAAAGTTAAAGTAATGGATGCTTGATTCTGGTTCCATCCTCTTATAAACCTTTCGATTTTTTAGCAAAAAATTTAGCTTTCTAGACTTCTACAGATTTTGAACTGCCTCTCCGAATAAGAATTTGAACAACAAGACTATTGATATTTAAGAAAATGAAATATAAAACTATTTTTATGCTGATGTAATTCGTTGCTTTTTTCAGATATTGGCTGTTTTTTTTTCAAGTGCATCCTATTGTAAATTTGTTTTTAGGGTTTAAAGGAACGGAATCAAGTTTCACTATCTGTTTGAAGTTCAGACAAACGTGGATAATTTCAATTTTTGATTTTAAAAAGTACTTGTTAATATATTCTTACACGCTGTTGTTTTCCCTCATTTTTGAAAAAAAACAGGGTGACCATTGAGTACTACGCTTTTTTTAACTGTCAAATGTTTTTTTAAACCATTGTAAACTACCCCCAAAATGATGCCTATCAATTGTGTTATGTGTCTTAAATTCAATCAAACATCATCAGTGATTATTTGTTAAATTTTCGCAAACATTGCATTGGTTGTTGTATGTATTTGTTGCGAAGGACGGTACCCATTTTTGATGCCCATTATATAATTTTTGTTCAGTGAAATCCACCTGCCTATGTGTCTATAAAATAGACATAAGTTGCTGTAAATTTCACATATTTTAGGGAATATTTCTTTGGAATTCTTAACGAGTTTTACAGCAGCTTTCATGAAGCGTTTATTTTCACTCTAGTTTACTGATTCTTTACCATTCATTTATAATGCAGTGTCTCGAAAAGCCCTTGTTTTCCAGCTTCTCACAATGAAACTATGTGATGAAAAAGGTCAAATAAACTGTAACCAATTCATTAAAGATTCATTCATGAGATAAAGCCAAGCTTAATGTCATGTGATTTCTATATTTTATGTCATACAGCTCGGGACATTATTTATTGTACAGCCCTCGTAGTTATGATGAGGGAGAAGGGTGAGTTTCAAGGCCCCTGCGTCTGGGGTGTGGTGTTAGAGCGGGGATCTAATGATTATATTGTTAAAAGGCATTAGTTCTTTGAAAATTTTCTCCTCTGCTCCTGGTTATCAAGCCGATAAACTATACCCGTACATGTACATAAGTATGATATTATAAACCTTTGATTGACTGATTGATTGTGTAGTGTTTAACGTCCCTCTCGAGAATTTTTCACTCATATGGAGACGTCACCGTATGCCGGTGAAGGGCTTCAAATTTTGACCTTTACTCGGCACTCAGGGCCATTGAGCAGTGAGGAATCTTTATCGTGCCAATGCCTGCCGCTGACACAGGGCCTCGGTTTTTAAGGTCTCATCCGAAGGACCCGCAACTTTCACTTCAAAGTGCCAAGCGCATGGCGAAGGAACAGTTTCTACCCATTTTTATCGACTTAGGTCAGTCGCGGCCGAGATACGAACTCACGACCTCCCGATCAAGGAGCGAGCGCTCTACCGACTGAGCTACCGTGAACGGTATACATGTATAAACCTTTGAACCATGTATATAGTTATAAGGAATGGTACCTCAATCAAAATCGTGCATGTCATTGCCCCTGGGTCAGGGGTACCACGGAGTATTAAAACTATGAACCTATGGCCCCTGGGTCAGGGGTACCATTGAGGGGTGGGGTGGGGTGGGGTGAAAGTATCATATACTGAAAATGAATTAATGTCTTGAAATCTGCTTTTTGGTATTAATCGACCATTTATGATGAACAAAGGTGCCTCACCCAAATTGTGAAATATGTGGCCCCAGGGTCAATGGCCTTTGGTTTAAAACACGAACCAAATCAGTTGTTGGAAAGTTGTGCATTGAAACTTGTATCATGCAAACAGTGTTGTGTGATATTCTAGTATGCGCACGGATTTTTAATACGACGAGGCTTATGCTTTTGTCTTTGCATCAGTTCACTCAAAATCCATAAGTGCATGTAGTACATAGTATTTTCTACGTTTCAGGAATCTAAAATCATAGGACAAAACATTTTATATGGAGAACAATCTCAAATTCTTTGATTCGTTTATATAACTTAATTATCAGATTCCATGTTTCATTGCACCTCAGAGGTAAGTATTCTGCGAAAATAGATTGAAAGTAGTAGCAAAACTTACTGAGCTCCACAAATGACACCTCTCTGATAAAAGTAAAATCTTTTGTCATAGACGATCTTTAATTGAAATAATTATCGAGTGCTTTTTTCATACAATATTGAAGAGGCATATAAAGATACAGAACAGTAATCAAGCGAAAACGTCCTTAAAACAATACAAATTGAAAGCAGAGCAATTAGGAACTTCTAAAAAACATCAGAGGAGGACCAAGCGCCTTGAATGAGTAAGCTTCCCCTGTCGACCTTTCACATCCGCAGTGTGCTCCTTGCCATGAACGAGGAAACGGAAAATCCTTAGACAATTCAGTGTGAATATATTGGCCTCTAACAATTTATATGAGAAACGTCAGTCAACAACAGACTCAACGATAGGTTGACTTGTATTTGCTGACAAGGTCAACGTACATGTATTAATCAAAGACTTTGCGAAATGTTAATTGAATTGAAACGAAAATATTCATGTTTTTGTATCATTTTATTTGTCAGTAGCTTTTCTCGTTTTAGAAATTGTCCATTTGGGAAGCAAAGCACTTTGCTGCAAGTGAACTTGAACTTATTCAGATGTCACTTAGTGAAAATCATAGAACATGCCAATGTAGCAGTCTTATTATACCTCCCGCTTGAAAAATGGGAGGTTATTTGGTGAACGGGATGTCCGTCCGTCTGTTACGCAAGTCTTATACCACGAAATGAAATTCAATGAGACTTTCACAAACTCTTTGTTACATAGTGTGTTGCGCACCTTCTTTTTTACTTTTAGATTGGACACTATATCGGGTGTCCCATAGCAAAACAAGGATACTGCAAATACTCCTATACCATTGATTTAAAATTTAATGATTCTTCTGCAGATTCTTCATTGAATGATGCTATTGTGCACTTCTTTTATTACTCTTTGATTAGTCACTTACTATAGTATTCCGAGTCTCCCAGAGCAAAACATTAACCTTGCCATTATAATCATATCAGAGGCGGGAGTATCATTTAGTGATCAAAGTACCTCTAGTTATTATTTGTACAGGCGCAGTGAAAAAAGGTCCAGAAAACGTATGACGGAATGACTGACGGCAAAGGAGGACGCTTTATGCCCGATCACTTCATGATGGTGGCATCATGATGCTTATTCATCATCCAAGGACAAATTGGACATTTGCAAATCAATGTTTATCCTTTTACAGAGTCATGGACCAAACACGACTGCACGGACAGACAGAAACAAATTTTTGTTTATATGAGCAAGAGGTTATTTCGAA